TTTTTTAGATAATTTTAGTTGCCATCTTCTATTAGAATTAACTAAATTTCGTGGAGTTTTTTCCATTTAAAATACTGAATTCTTAGAAAAAAAAAATAAACGGGACGGGCAGGCTCACGTTACCCGTACACACCTCGGGGTGAAATCCCTCGTCCTATCCCCGCCCCAAGTACCCGATTAAATTGGTAATTCCTACCTCGTTTGAGGCAAGACCTAAGTATATTGGGTACGACGGAGTTTTCACCATTCCTAGGGCTGCTTATACAATCGGGCTCTCCTTCTAACACCAAGCTATTGATGTCAAAAAATGACTAGATTGATTTTTGTTAACTAAGGTAAATTGCGAAAATAGTAAAAGAGAGTTTTATATTGATTGAAGTAATTCGAAAGTGTAAAGGGGGAGCTCATTGAGTTCAGTCTTATTTATAGGTCAAATCAAACAAATTGACCATCCAAGGTATAATAAGTTATGATCTTAATATGTGTGCGATTTGCTTAATTTATATTTATAGGTCAAATCAAACAAATTGACCATCGTTGCTTGGGCTACAGTAATACCATCAAATAATGATGGTGGGATATTATCTAATCATTACTTGTAATTGGTTGGTCGAGCAAGAGGTGCTGATGTCAGTGATGCCAGGTGGCATGGTATGACTGGAAAAGGTGGAATGTGTATCAGTGATGACAATTTTCTAGCCATCATTATGTACATAGAAATGATTCAAATGAAGGTGGTCTTTAATCCAATTTGACCTCAGAGATACTACGTCCGACCATAGTGCTAGATCGTTAATGAGATGATTGATTCGTTTTGATGAGTTCAAAGTTCCAAACCCAACAAGGTGGATGTCAGCAATATCTATTGATACGTTGTCTATTTCAGTTAATTTGGTCTGGGAAGGTTTTTTCCTTTGTGCACCCTTGTTTTTGCTACGATAGTCTTTAGCTCGATGTCTTAGATTCCCACAACTATAGCAATCTCTTTTGAACCGTTTTGCATCATTCCCTATTCCATTATCTTTAGATGAGCCATGATACCTTTTTTTTTTTAACTTTTAGGCCTAGAGTCTTCAATCATGTTAGCATATGCCTCCATATTCCGCACAAAGCTTCTCTTTTCTGTAGCCCTATTGTATTCTTCAATGCGAAGCTAAACAATCAGATCCTCCATTGTATCCTTGCACTCGCACTTGAGATAGTTTTTTTTTTTTTTTTTATCGTAGCAGCAGTTTGGAAATTTTCATTCAATTTCATGCATTTCTTCCCATTGTCATGAAAAAGTATTAGTATCTGTTCAAGAAAATTTAGCGACAATGAATTTCCTTTATACCTGTAACTTCTGTCTTTTAGTTTTTATCAAAAGATTTTCGCAGCTTTTTTGCCATCTATACATTGTACATTATATATTGTCTAACCCGTTGAGAATGTAATTCCTGCATAGAAAATCAACTTGCTTTCATGCTTCAATCGCCAATTAGGATTTTATTTTATTTTATTATTTTTTTTAGTTTTTTTTTTTTTGTATGGGGGCAATATTCATGTAGAAATTTAACCAAAATTGGCATAGAAATGTAGAATAGCATCATCTTTGAAATTCGCATTGTTGAATTTTTTCAACTTTTCATGTTGAGACACAAAATTTTGTTTAATCACTTCACTAGTTTGCTCAGTTCAACTAATAAATATTCGATAAAAGTACATCACAGACAATCGATCAATATTAAATTATTAAAAACACGTAATAAAATTACGTAACAAAAAATAATGTTGGGAGGAAGAAAAGATTTATCTTTAGATTGTTGTCAACTTAAAGACTCATACAATCTAAAGAAAGAAACAGGAGATGGTAGATAAAGCGATATATGCCATAGAAAATTTCGTTATGAGTTCACCTCTTGTACTAGTGCCAACAATATTGGTACTACACTACACCAATCTTTTCGGTTTAGCCAAAGTGTTAACAGTATTCTTCCAAAACGGAATAGACACTAACTAAAATTATCGGACGAAAAATTATTGTTGAAAATAGTTCAAATAGAATTTTATTTCAGCAAAATAGAAAGAACGAAACATTTGGAAAAATGTGAGAATTAGAAATCAATTTTTCTTGAATTGATTTGGTGTGAAGAAAATGAAATGAAATGGATTCCATTTATAGATTTAATGTGTCCTTTTCGAATAGGTGCACATTTTGGTACAATTAATGTGGATCATTAGATCTCACTTTTTAGATTGAGTCATGATCTAGTGGTCTAGATCGTTCCATACTAAAAGAACGTGACTTTTTATTATGCATATTTTTTAACAGTGATATCTAATCAGAAAAATCATGACTTTAATTTGAAAAGTCGCTACTCGTTGCACTAATTGAAACTTTTCGAAACACCTTTAAAATCATTAAATATTATCTATTAAAACCATTAAATTCAAACGTTATTTATATCTATGACCATATGTTTAAGTGAATAAAAGTACATGTAAAATTATAATTACTGGTTTAATATTTCTTGTCTTGTCAATGCTTTCAGTAGCTATGAAATGGTGTTAATTTTTTTAATATATACATATGTACAAAATTTTGATTTCTTTTGTTTCTTACTTGACTACCTGATCATTCTTTAGTACGTCGCAAAACCAACATGTAATAGAAATTGTGGGTACTCGCAGCATGGTGGAGCTAAATGAGTTTTAAGAGGCTGCAACTTAAATATAAGCCAACTAGGGACGGAGCCAGGAAATTTGTTCAGTGCGGGCATAATTTAACTCACGTCGAATATTGAGTTTTAGTCATGAATTTAATGATGATAAAACAATAAAACAAAATCATGGGTTTGGGTCTCAAAATAAAACTCATGTAAATTAAAACATGTGTTTTATTCCACCTTCCCTACTGCTAAAGGGCAAAAAAAATAAAAATAAAAAATAATTGAAAATGAAAATGGTTTGGGCCTAAAAAATATGCCCGCACTCATCTCAACATGGCTCCGCCCATGAAGCCAACCATCCATGATTTATAGTCATATTGTAATCTTCTAAAGAAAAAAAGTAACATGATATGTGACTTTATGATATTTTATTTCACTCGATGAAATTTATAAATACCATGCCAATGCGGTAGTTTTGATGCCACCAAGAGATGGAGTAGCAGATTCATCCCCTTTCTCCTTCAAGAACTCCTCGAGAGATTGTCTTGTTTCCTTGCCTTGTCTGATCATCCAATGGGAGACTTAATTGTTTATAGATTATTAATTACACTTTAAACTTAACCAATCATATAATGTCAAATAAGTCAAAATAAATAGTATGTGACTTTTTGTTCTATCATGCTCTTTGTTATGTATTAGAAAGTTACATGACATGCCAGTTTTTAATGGAAATTTCACACAACGTAATTTTATTTATTTATTTTTTTTTTTTTTTTTAAGTAAAACTTCTTTGGCTATGCTTGCATTGTGCTTATAAGAACAACTTGAACTCATATTTTAACTCTATCTTTTTATTTTCTTTTATGTTGGATGTGAATTGAGATTATTGACATTATTTGTCACTTTTTAATAACACAAATTAACTTGGCTTCCTTTTTTCAATAAAAAACCTTTGATTAATTTTTATAGAGAATGTTTAGCTAAGATTTTTAACTATTAATTATTTATTTTTTGTTATGTCTTGCTATAGGTTATATACTTGAAAGTCACATGACGTGTTATTTTTTATTTAAAAGGTCACACACCATATAATTTGTTTTTCAACATAAAAAGTTTGGTCAATCTTACAGCATGTGTAAGTAACCATTTAAATTGATATTTAGTTCTTACTTTTATTTTTGTTGTGTTGGTAGTGAACAATGTTATTCATTGAAAAATCACATGTTACGTCACTCTTATTAAAATAATATATGGTATAATTTGAAACATTTATCACAAATAAGCCAAATAATCATATTCTGAGTATTTTTAGTAAAAAACTATTAGACGTCTTAAAGAGAAAGCTGCACATCGGGTGACATATACTATAAGAGTGTGTTTGATTGACATGAAAAATATCATCTAAAAAAGAAAATATTTTCCATCTTTTGTGAAAAATAAAAATCATCTCTACCCAAAGAAAATGTTTTCCTTAAAAACAAAGAAAATTAGGCATATTTTCAAAAGTTGGAAAATATTTTCCATGGAAAAAAATAACAATCAAACACTTCAAATAGAAATTTTGGTTGAAAACTGATATTTTCCATGGAAAAAAATAACAATCAAACACTTCAAATAGAAATTTTGGTTGAAAACTGATATTTTCCATGGAAAATAAATGTAATCAAACACACCCTAAATGTCCAAAATTATACAATGATTTTTCTTATAAAATACTTTTCATCTAATTTTTTATAAGATCCTTGATTTTAGGTGTGTTTGTCTAAAAACTTAATTGAAAATGCTCATAAAATTTAACTTCTCAATGTAGGGGTCTCGAAATGGGTAGATAGTGTCCAAATTAAACCCTATGGGCAAGTCTAGATTGTCTTTTAAATTTGACGATCAAACTAGTCCACGAATATGTCATAAGCAACAGTCAAACCTGCCAATACGCTGGTTTTACATTATGGATTCTTCTCTAGATTAAGTAAATCGACAAATCAAATTAATTAATCGGAATATATGCATTTAAAAAAGAAAAAATGGAGACATTAAGAAGTAAGATATTTATAGAGAATCCCCAACCAACATTGACGAACAATAAGTAAAAGACAGAAAAAGGAATGCTAACATGACCAAACATGGGCTGCCAATGCAGGTGGGTGGTGATAATGAATTGAAATTAACTCATTAAAACATTGAAAACTGCCAAACATGTTGAAAATAGGCCGTTGCATGATTAAATTAATTTCCAACTTGACCAAATATATGCAATTTTATGAAGAAAAAACTTATATACGTGTACATAAAGTAGTGATTACTTTAATAATGAAAAACGCACAAAAATTACGATTTTTTTAGTGGGACTAGTGAGGAAAACGTGCGTTACATGTTAGTTGCTGAATGTTAAATATATATGTATGGTAATTGTCGAACGGATATGCATTCTTAAAGAAGTAGCCAATCTAACAACAACCAATTCCTTCCAAACTTGCCATAGAAATATTAGGAATACAATTAAATAGGCAAGGATTTAACATTGGGATTATATAAAAAGGGCTTCTCAAATACGAAATCTCCATTGTTTACACATTCCACACCTGCTTATTCATTTCTAGACGATGTACCCTCCATCAAGTCAAATTGTTTGGAAAAATATAAATGATAGGATATGAATTGTCTCTACAAATTTCCTTCTTATGCTTCATTGCCAGAAAACAGTAACAAATTCCCTTTCGAAACACGTATAAGATTCAAATAAGATAGAAGAACTAAGTGTGATATTCTTCTAACTGTAAAATGTAATTATTCATAATACGCTAAGCGTGAATCTCAATTAATCAGCTTTCTTTTCACTCTTTTTAATTCTAGTAGTAAACACAGCACAAAGAAACACACTCTTCAAATACTAAACCATTAGCAATTGAATAATCAAACCTGTTAACATCGTTAATGTAGCCTAGAATAGGCTTGAAAGAAGTTAAACCTTGAGCAATATTTCTTAACTTTAAAATAGCTCTAACAATTTGATAATAAAATCATGGCTCCTGTGAAATATCCTTTTTGCCTATAATATACTGCTACAGCAACTAAAATTTGTACAGAATGAACCACAAGTTCAATCCTGCAAAATCACGAAATTTGATTGGCAAGTGAGAATGGTTAAATGGCTTGCACTAGGAATGATGAACAAAATGGATAACAAGTTAAACACTGATAAACACTTCTCGGACATGCTTCTGATTATATAATTAAATATCCAAAGGTAATATGATATAGGAAACTTAAGAGAATCTGATGGGCATCAACCCCCGAAAAAATAACATTGTTATCATTGCTGAAGTCCTTGGTAATTTGCAGAAGGATAAAATTCCCAATATTACCACTTTTCATCTAATTTATATTGCTAATGACAAAGATAAAGAAGGGACCATACCATCTTTCTTCTTATCCTTGATCAGTGTTACCCGGGCGCTTGAATCTAGAGAACATTAAGCTCTGAACTATACCTAAAATGGAATAGAGTGTTGCTTGAGATTGTTATCATGAGAAGTGAAAATAACAACAATATCAATTACCTGTACCAGAAGATGAAATAGAGATTACAAATACTCACAAAATTGGTCAAATCTTTAACTTTCCAATTGATGACAAGAATCTTAGATCTTATCTATGAATATCAACATCATTATGCTAATAATAATTACAATCATAGCTATTATTATTGGTAAAACCTTCAGATCAAATATAGAAACTAGTACTGGATACAAGATTTTTGAAGTATAACAATAAGAGTTTATAGATAAAAAATTAAAAATGTAATTCCAATTTCATATTTTTCTCTCACTCAAAAATAATTTTCATCCAAAAAATGGCTCGTCTTCAATTGCTACTTGAACTTTGGTTGCCTCAAATGAAGATGAAACAATATCTGTGACTAATGTCATCATGTAAAACTTAACTAAAATGGCACTATCAAATGCTATGAAATAGAACCAAGAACATAGCATGTAGCAAACAATAGAACTGTTGTTCTGTTTTCCTTTTCCTCTTCGTTGTTGGGGCTGATAGGGCTAATGAGAAGATGACAAGAAACTTCTAATAATCAAGTAAGGTTTAAATGGAAGATTTAGGAAATTGAGTATTCTAACACTAATTTCTTGTCCTTTTCCTTTTCCTACTTGCTAGATCTTGAGAAAGTCTATTTTAGCGAGACGTCAATATTCCACCATTAAAGATTGCGATTGGATATTAGTTCTATTTAATCAATTTTGGCCACAAACTCAACTCATTAACTCTCCATGAGCTCTTTATTTAGTATTAAGAACTAAGAACAAAGGCAAAATTAAGAAAACAATATACTTGTTGAGTGCTTTTATTGAGGAAGATGTTTTGTGGCAAAGTATAAAAATTGATATTTGCTAAGGTCTCACAAAGGATGATTTGCTAGACAAAAACTAATGAGTCTCAATTGAACTTGTGAAGAACCACTATTCCAACTGTCAAAAACCCAAAAGCATTAGCATGCCTTTTAAAAGGAAAACCCCTAAACCCACACAGATTTAGCAGGGGATGAACTCTTTACAAAGCAATGGTTTTACCAAAAGATATCAAATTCCTTGCACGTTACTTGCATATCTCTTCCTAATAAGCATACACCTATTCAATTAATATACAGGGAAATTGAAAATTCTATATAGATGCAAAGTAAGGAAATAAATTGCTTGGCATGAACAAAATCTCAATTCGTGAAATTCCATCCCCAAAATAACATTCTTCTTTTTTTCACAAACAAAGATAGAGGCATTAGTTTACAAATGTGTTCGATTCAATAAATCTCAAAAAAAAACCAAAACCCACAATCTCAACCCCTCAAAATGATAGATAAAAATATAAGAAATAAACTTTACCCGTGGAATAGAGTAAATGACTGCGGAAACTTGGTGAATTGGAGAATGAAGTGTGAGAGCAGGGTGGCCCTGAGAATTTTGAGGCGTAAGCGATTAATTATTATGAGGCCTTAATTTTTTCCTTTTTAAATTTTCAACAAGTGTAGAAATACTTAAATATTTAAATTAAAACAACATTTATTTTTGAAAACCCCGGAAGTGCTACACAATATAACTTCAATTTCCAATATCATTCCAAGTTAACTGGAATTCATCTTACATTCCTATTGTTTTAATGAAAATTCACCACTGCAGCAAAGTACAAATCCCAAGAAACAAAATAAATAACTTAATAAAATAAAGTAGATCTTTGATATTCAAAAACCCAGGCAGCAAAGCTCTATTATTAATGCAGATCAGAGTAAAACATAAAATTTTGGAATTCAAACCTACCCAGACTCTCCGCAATAACCAGCAAGACGTTTCTCTATCGGAAAACCATTCCTAGTGGCAAACAACACAAAATAATTTTGAAAAAAACTTATTTAAAGGCAACATCCGTAATCATATTTATAGAGATATAGACAAACATGATTCATTACCATCATTTAAGAATGTAGCTTTGGCATCATGGAAGAATTCACGACAAATTTTGCATCCAGAGTACAATAACTAGCCACGCCATGTAGAACTCTCCACCTGGAAACTAAATAGACAATGTTAAAATTTGTTATAACGTTATTGCTTTACTGAGGCATTTCATCGAACAACTTTACTTCATGATTCGCTTGTTCCATCCAAACATTCATTATAAGTTTAATTTGTAATTTGTTGAAAATCATTAGCTAGCACACCAAACATTATTAGAAGTGCACAATCTATGAAGCAGTAAAAAAGTAAAATCAACACAAAATGAGAAGTGAATAAACTATAAGAAGAAGTAGAAACACAGTTAGGAGATAAAAAATTGGGCTATCCCCTGTCATTCCTACTTGCTCAACTGATCTTACTCCGGGTAAATAAAAATGGCGAGCCTGCCCTATCATCGCCTGGATTGTTTGAGATTGACTGGAACAACAAAGAAGAGGTCAAATCCTGGATTTTCGAATTGAGAGATATCAAGAGTTCTCACTATTTCTGATTGATTAGGAGAGGAAGATGCGATCAATGTTGCTAGAGATCAATTCCAATATTATAAATTTTCCACCTTTTTTTCATGCCCTAGGGCCGGCAGTAGGAGGAACACCAACAGAACAATACACCAAAGATTACATTCTGAGTCGAAGTCGAGATCCACGATGCCCGGAGGCAACTGTGCGGAGACCTCACGAAGCTCCACGCTTCGCAGAGACAAAACTTGGTGGGCCGGAATTTGAGCCGCAACTGTCGTCGGAGCAATTAGCTTGACGGACAGTTGTTTTTCCTTTGCTTCAATCACGCCTGAGGTAATGCTTTAGTCATCCGATTTTCCTTAATTTTTGGATAAAAATATTGGCTATTTCTTTCACGTGTGAAAATAGACAAGGAGATGGTTTTGTGGGTAAGTAAAATGGCGTGTGAAATGGAGATAAGGTTGGGTGAAGATGAAAAAAAAAAAAAAAAAAAAAAAAGGACAATGGGAAATTGCAACACTTGTCCGGCCAATGTTAGGCTCTTTTATATATGTAGAATATGCAAATGCAGGTTATGTTTTCGATCTACATAAAGCTATATCACAAACTTGATTTGTGTTTACACGTGAAATACAACTATATTATGGATGCATGGAAATTTAACTTTGATAGAAATATTTTCAAATCATTACAACTTTATTGCAATCAATGAAGCAAATCAAGATTATGTATGGTTGAAGAATATGATCTATTATATCCAAATATCATGCAAATTAAGATAGTACAACAATATAGTACGAATATAATGCATCTTATAGAGCACAAAGTAACGTGAAATGCATAAAATGAGACATGATAAAACACATTCTCCAAAATTCTTTTGTACACATGAGTTTCAAAAAAAATGTTGACAACGATGTTCAATAAATTCAAATGTAGTTTACTTCTTCAAACAAATTAGATTCTGTAGATTCTAAAGTACTACTAGAGGAAGATGAAATAGAATCTTGAAAATTTTCTTCATCCATGATCCCATTCTTGTTTTTAGGATTGAAAAAGGACTTCTTGTTTACAAGGTTAATCATCTTCATCTAAATTAATTAATTGAAAACATTGAAAACAGCCAAACATGTTAAAAATAGGTGGCTGTATGTATTAATTAAATTTCAACTTCAGTAATATATGCTACTTTCTTGAAGAAAAAACTTATGTATGTATGTATATATAAATAAGTGATTAGTTTGGGATGAAAAAAAAAATTGAGAATTATTTTTAGTGGGATATGCAAATGCATGTTATATTTCCGACCTACATAAGCTATATCACAAACATGATATTTGCTTACACATGAAATACAACTATATTACAGATATATATGAAGTAAACTTTGATAGAAACATTTTCAAATCATTACAATTGATGAAGCAAACCTTGTATAAGAATTGTTGAGAAATATGATTATTACAACCAAACATCATGCAAATTAACATGAATGAAAGATATTACAATACCATGGTATGAGGATAGTGTATCTTATAGTGCACAACATAAGGCGAAATACATCAAATGAGACACAACAAAACATGTTTATTCAAAACTCTTCTATACACGAGTATCAAAAGAATGGTTACATCGATGTTCAAGAAATTCAAATGAGTTTAGATCTTCAAACAAATCAGATTCTAAAGATTTAAAAGTACAACTAGAGGAAGATGAAATAGAATCTTGAAAATTTTCTTCATCCATGATCCCATTCTTGTTTTCTGGATTGAAAAAGGACTCCATTTTTATGAGGTTAATCATCATCATCTAATAATTCTTCAAATGGTGTAAATCTTAGCTCATTCCAATGATCCACCATGCAGTTATTGTTGGATATAATTCAAAATAACAACGAGTAATTTTGAAAACGATGGAAGTGATCAACCATCAGAAGAACAAGTGAAAACAAAATAGAAAAAAAAATGGTGAAGGCCAAAAAATAGGCTGGGCAGTAAAATGGCCTTGTGTTACAATTAGAATGGCCATTTTATTGAACTGGACGGTCCACCGATTTTGCCCAGTATTAAAATATGGTGTCCTTTTATCAAACTTTACACCTTTTTCGCACCTTTCCGTGCATGATGATTGATGAACAGGGTTTTCATGTTGAAAAATATATCAAAAACATCATATTGATAAACATATATCCAAATCAAAAGATCAAACCATGTTTTATATATTTATCCTAGAAGTTCCTTTTTCAAGTTTTGTTTGCTTGATCCAAACTTGGATTAAGGTTTGTTTACTCATGCAAACTATTTGGCTTTTAAAGGCTTCAAGCACTTGTCCCGATGGCTGTAAACATTATTTGAGGACAATGATTCATAATCATGTTTAAGGCTTCCATTTTTGTGAATTCTTGTTGGTATTTTTTTCTTTTTCGTCATCAACTTTTCTCAACAATCTCAAGCATATGTTCAAAATGGAGAACAAAACAACCATGGCTATGATAAAGATGATAAATCAAGACACTGTGAGGCTACATAGATTCGATAGGTTGAATTTCAAAAGATGGAAGGGCAAGTTGAAGTTTCATCTCACAGCCTTGAATTTCTTCTACATTTTGTATTCAAACTTGCACCAATGTCCGAACCAACGTTGAATGACACCAACAAAACAAAGGCGAAACGAAAGATAAGAGACAAAGATGAATTGATACATAGATGACACATTCTGAATGCTCTATCCGATCGCCTCTATGATCTCCACATAAATAACACCTTGGCAAAAGAGGTTATGGGAATCGTTGAAAACCAAATAGGAGGCCAAGGAAGAAGGTACCAAAGAGTTTCTTATTTCTAATTATTTTGTTTTTAAATTTTTGGATAACTTGCCATTGTTAGAACAAGTCCATGAGTTGTAAATCATTTTCAATAAAATGAAGGCCGTGAAGATAGATCTTCCTGAAAATTTCCATGTTTGGCAATCATAGCAAAAATTTCATCTTCATGGAAAGGTAGAAGGAAAATCCTTCACAATTCCCAAAATTATTCTTTGGAAGATATTTAAAAATATTGAATTGAGAAAGGGTCAAGCACATTATCATGAAGGCACTTCTAAAACCCATGTCGTAGATTAACCAAACAAATACAATAAGGATTCCAAGAAGAGGAAATCTACAAACCACAACAAAGATAACAAGAACAAGAAAAAATTCATAGTTTTTCATTATGTGTGTGGCAAATTCGAACATTATGCTCGGAATTGTAGATATCACAAATAACGAATGCAAGAAAGGAAAGTAAACTTTGTTGACAACATCATCGCTACCATGAGCATTGTGAATTCGATCGAAGGAAAGGTTCAAGGATGGTGGTACGATACTTATGCTACCATACATGTGTTCTATGATAGATCATTTTTCAAAATCTATCAAAAAGTGTATGACGAATGCATTCAAATGGGAAATGAAGTTAAATCAAAAGTTGTTGTCAAAGGAAGCATAGGATTACAATTCACATCCAGCAAGAAGATCATATTAATAAATGTATTGCTCATATCATTTATGAATAGAAATCTCGTAAGTGGTGATTTATTGGAAAAAATCGAGAATTAAGTCCTCATATGAGTCGAACAAACTTGTACTTCTTAGAATGGTGTATTTGTTAGAAAAACTATTTTAGTGATGGAATGGTCAAACTTTGTATTATTGACAATAATATCAATAAAACTACGAATTTAAATTATGTTTTTGAGTCTATTTCTTTGTTGCATGATGACTAGGAGATGTTAGCTTTTCGACTTAAAAGATCACAAGTAGAAATACCTTCCAAGGATGTTGAAACAAGTAAACTTCGTAGAAGTGAAAGAGGTCAAAAGGAGAAAGTGCTAGAACTGGATGAATTAAACTTTCAACTTATGTCATTCTCTTTAGTTAAGGGAAAATGAGAAAAGTGTTACTAGAACTACTCTGTATATTCTTCAAGGGGAAACCAATTCTAAATCTTATCAAGAAACAATGTCATCTAGAGATAGTGCCTTTTGGAAGTATGTTGAATATGATGAAATTGATTCAATAATGTTAAATAACACTTAGGAATTAGTCGATTTACTACCTAGATAAAAACCTATAGGCCTATAGGTTGCAATTGGGTATTTAGAATGAAGTGCAATGTGTAAGGTACTCTCAATACCTTTAAAGATAGGTTAGTGGTCAAAGGATATCGACAAAAAAAAGGAGTAGATTACTTTGACATGTATACACTAGCTGCACGAATAACATCAATTTTGATTATATTAGCTTTAGCTTCTATATATGATTTGCACATACATCAAATGGATATAAAAACGATATTTTTAAATGGAGATCTCGATGATGAGTTTTATATGGAACAATTGAAATGATTTGTTCTACCCAAAAATCAGGAGAAAGTATGTAAGGATTTTACTAAAACAAGCACCAAAGAGGCGGTAGGAAAAGTTTGATTTAACAATAATGTCTTTTGACATTAAACATAACAGTGTTGATAAACGTTTATATTCAAAAGTTTGCAATAATTATGTTGCGCTAATTTTTTTTATACGTAGATGACATGTTTATTGTGCAATCAAATGTAAGGTATAAAAGAAACAAAGAGGTTTCTATCTTCCACGTTCAATATGCAAGATTTTGGTCAAGTAAATACCAAACTAAATATCGAATTCACCAAGACTAGCAGGGATTATATGTTGAGCCAATCACATTATATTGAGAGTGTGATTAATAAGTTCAATCACTTGAACACTAAAGAGGCTAACACACCATTTGATCTAAGTTTAAAACTTGTAAAAAATGATGGAAGAGCTATAGCACAACTTGAGTATGCAAGTTATATTGGGAGTCTAATGTATGTTGTGCAATATACAAGACCCAACATAGCATTTGCAATTAGTAAACTTAGTCGATTTACTAGCAGTCCAAGTTAAGAACATTAAAAGGCTATCGAGAGGGCTTTGGATATTTGAAGAAAACCAAGGATCTAAGTCTCCAATATTCTAAATTTTTGGCATTCCTAAAAAGATTTATTGATGCTAGTTGGATATATATCCTTAAAGAAGGTGCAGGCTCTTGGAAATCCAAGAAACAAAAGTGTATTACTCAATTATTGAATACTAATTTGTGGCATTGGTTGAAATTGAAAGAGAAGCTGAATGGCTTAGAAATTAAATGTATGAAATTTCATTAGGAAAAATGAATAATTCTTCCATATTTATCTTGTATGATACACGAGCCACTTTAGCAAAAGTATAACGGTAAATCTAAATATGTGAATCTAAGACATAATTATGTGAGGAAATTAATTAAATATGGAACAATTTCACTTACATGATTTCAAATGAGAATTTGGATGATTCGTTCACTAATCTGCTCACAAAGGAATTAGTGCAGACAACAACTAGTAATAACAGGTCATTTGATAAATGAATGGATTCACCACTTATTTTTTCTTTTAAA